TTCTGCAGCCAAGTTAAGAGTCACATGATAAAGAATCCTACATTTTAGTCATCATGTTACACACTTATGTGAAATATGTATGCAGCATATTGTTTTAATCAGCTAGTTCTGAATGTTTGTTGGAGGACAAATCTATTTTCGTATCTCAGCAACGCCCCCATACACTCCCCCTTCAGCGATGTAAATATGTGGATGAGGCTGAAGTTACTACCTCTGCTTTTATTGATCTGACCAACTATTAAATGCAGCTTACGGATGTTTAGCGTGAACATTCAAACCGCATCAATGCCGAAGTTTGAGTGGAGTCCTCCGGTGTAAATTCACTCTGTTGTACAATGACAGTCTTTCATTTGGATGATTTCTTAGCAGGATGGATTGGAGGTGAGTTTAATTTGTTTTGCCGATCTTGTACAAAGTTTCATGTGTTTAACATTAGCTACAAATAAACCCCCGAAATGCACATTTTCGCGGAGCAATATCGTGATTTATCGCAAGCCTATACGCAACTTAAAAGAAGTGTATCTTGTAAAAACCCAACAGAGAAGAAGAAACTACAGAGAAAAAGGGAATATTGTCAGGATAGAGAGTCGAAAACACTTGATTGTTCTCCTGAAAGAGTAAAAAAACTAAAAAGTTTTTTTTTTCTGCAAATTTAAAGAGAATTAAAAAACCGTTTCTATTTTAACGAAATGTGGAAACCTGGTGTTCTCCATTGAAAGGAAACATTTATTAAAGCCCTAATGTGCTTGTGCACCCACCATGAAATGTTCATAACAATGTAGCTTATTCATAAAATGGACACTCTGTTCTGCAAGAAGAGCCTCCTACAAAGCTATGCAGTAGACAATCTATCATTATCGTCTTTGTCTTCAGTTGCAACATATTGAACTGCTTTTGGTTACAGGAGCATCCAGTGTGATTGTGGGACATCCACTTGACACAGTCAAGGTATCAAGACAAATCCTTGTTTTGGGATTCATTTTGTACAAATCCTCCTATATTATGTATTTATTATTTATTCATATACAGTAAAATGCTGTAGTTCATATTATATATTTATATTTCCATTCTAAAGGTAGTCAGTTTTACTTTATAAGTCCCCACCGGTATAAAATGTATTGGTTAGGGGATGAAGTGTCAATCGAGAAAAATAAATTCCTTTGTGCTCCTTTTACAGACTCATTTACAAGCTGGCAAAGGATACAAGAATACGCTCCACTGTGTTGTAACGATCTACAAAAAGGAAAATGTAAGGTTTTATTACACTGATTGTCTTTATAAATGAATAACAAATGTACTGGCAAGTATTTTTCACAATTAATGTGTCACAACTACTCCAAAAGGCCACAGAGCCTTGTATTCGTTGAGCCATTCTTGTTTTGCTGTACATTGAGAGATCTGCATTTTTTCTCAGATACTTAAACTTTATGAAGAGTACTTATTTACACAATGAATATACGGCTATTAGAGGATGGATCCAAATGAAAATAAAGATTAAAGTTACTTCCTTTGCTCAGAGATTGACACAAACTGAGTTTTTTTTTCATCTTTTGAAATGTTAATAATATCATACACATTTTTTTTTACCAAAGATGATGTCACTTCCTGAAGCATGATATCATTAAGGGCCTGTCTTTTGATAGTTAAAAAGAATATTTCACAAGACCAACAAGATGGAAAACAATATTAAAGACAGAAAAGCAGTGGTGACACTTTAGTTTTGGGACCAGTTCTATTAACTAGCTCCTTTTTAGCATACATATTACTAGCATATTGGCTGTTTATTAGTACTTATAAAGCACATATTAATGCCTTTTTCTGCATGACCATATTTTAAAAACCCTTTATCATACTTAACATCTACCGTACTAACTATTAATAAGCAGCAAATTAGGAGTTTACTGAGGCAAAATAGTAGTTAATTGTTAATTAATAGTGAGAATTGGTCCCCAAAATAAAGTTAGATTATTACAACCATAAAACAACAAATATTCCAAAAGAAAACATTTTAGCTGGACAAAATAAAAAATGATAATAAGCAAACATCTGGGATAAATTTGCCAGTTTTTCATGTAAAAAAATTCAGAACTCTGTGAAATAACAAAAACGCCAACATCCACTCAAAAAGAAGAAGGAAAATGATCAAAAAGCACCCATATTTTTACTGAGAAAATAATAATGTGGTTCCATTTTAGAAATTGTATATCATATGATATACAGAAGAAATACAGAATTGACGAAAGCCACCAATAAAAGTCAAAGGGGACAAAATTTGTATAAATGAGCAAGCCCCCTTTATTCCCAGACTCAATGAGCAGGCTATATCCTCATCACAAGGTTTGGGACTATATTCCCAAGACTGCATATCAGGAATGACCCAATTTGTGGTGTAAACAGGTATTTCCTTTCCTTGGAAGCAAAAGTACACAACCCATCTCTCTTTTGTGTTGTCTCAGGTTACGGGCTTTTTCAAAGGACTGTCCTTTCCATTGGCCAGCATCACTCTCTATAACTCTATGGTGTTCGGCTTCTTCAGCAACACGCAGCGCCTCATTAGCAGATATCGTTATGGTGACGGCAGACACCCGTGCAGTATGCTTGACTTGACTGTAGCGAGCATGCTGACTGGTCTGGTTTCAGTGGGGGTGGGCGCCCCTGTTGACCTTGTCAAAATTAGACTGCAGATGCAAACTCAACCTGTTCTTGCAGGTAAACTGTGGTTATAAATACATTTTAGCACCCTGCAGCTATGCATGGCGTCAGACAACACATGTTCTTGTTAAGAGAAAAATTCCTAATGGTTGCTGAAAGCTTTTCAAAGACGAACATTTCCAGGGAAATAATGTATTTTGCAACCGAGAGTTTCTCATCTACTGTTTTGTGTGTTTCCAGAGAACTTTAACCTTGCTGGGAATGGGAGTGTCCCTTTGCGGTCAATGGGAATTCAGTCCCAGTCATTGTGCAGAGGGCCACTGCACTGCATTAGTACCGTCCTGCAGAACGAGGGCATTCAAGGGCTCTACAGAGGCGCGGGAGCCATGATATTACGGGATGTACCTGGATACACCCTGTACTTCGTACCATACACGTTATTCTGTAACTGGCTGAATCCTGATGGCAATGCCTCACCCCATCCCTGCTGCATATGGCTAGCAGGAGGTTTAGCAGGTAAATGAGACCCGGACTCTATTCCAAAACTTAGTAGCTGCTGTCTACTGCTTACACAGCCTTCAAACTAAACTGGAACCTAATAAGTCTGATTTAATACACTCTCAGATGCACAGGCTCAACTTGCAAATGTTTGCATTAGAGTTTTATGTTAGCCTGTTGCTAAGCTAACAACATGAGTCCAACAATAGTCTATCTGAAATAGATTGCATTCAGTATTGAATGGATTATATGTATGATCAACATTTTCTCACTTGGTCTGCGACGTTAAAGGAACAGTTCAGTCAAAAATTTTAATTTGGTGAAAATGTACTCACTCTCAGGCAATCCAAGATGTAGATAAGTTTGTTTCTTCTTCAGATTTGGAAAAATTTAGCATTCCATCACTTGTTTACCAATGGATCATGTGCAGTGAATGGGTGCCTTCAGAATGAGAGTCCAAACAGCTGATAAAAACATCACAATAATCCACACCACTCCAGTCCATCAGCTGTGTGTCTGAAAGAAACAAATCCATCGCTAAGACATTGTAACTTTAAACTGTTGCCTCTGATTGATATACTGGAGTGGTGTGGATTATTGTGATGTTTTTATCAGCTGTTTGGACTCTCATTCTGATGGCACCCATTCACTGCAGAGGAGCCATTGGTGAACATGTGATGCGATGCTAAACTGCTCGTGGTCTGTGAGTATTTTCAGTCCATTTTCATTTTTGGGTGACCTACTGCTTAATTTTTTCTATGCTTGTCATAATGCATTATAGGATTGGCTTCACAAAAGAGACATTTAATACTGTTGTAAAATGTGGTCATATCTTATCTCAGAATGCAGTATAATACAATAAACCTTGCATAAAATGCAGTTCACTAGGTTTAACAGAGCTATTCTTTTCCAGCCTGAATGTGATGCTTACCAAAAGAAACACCAGATGCACTTGTAGTGTTTTTCAGTCTGTTTGCACAAGTGTTGAATTGTTGAAAAGCTATGTCAGACCCTCTGTGTCACACCAAACCACTTCTCAGCAGTCATGCACAGATTAACAAGTATACGTTTGGTTAAGGATAGGAGGCTGCATTGTTTTGAAATTTGTCAGTGTACTTCCCATTAAAAATGTCCCTCCTGTTGGTGTATGACGGGAAAGACCTGGTTTAACCTAAATATGACCCTATTGGGAGTCAGGTATTTTTAGGACACAGAATACTTCACATGAGATTTCACTCGTTGGTTACGCTGTTGTTCCACAGGATCCATCTCGTGGGTTACCGCCACACCAGCAGACGTGGTGAAAAGCCGGTTGCAGGCAGATGCTATGCAGCACAGGAAATACAAGGGCATTCTGCACTGCATCATGCAAAGTTACAAGACAGAGGGAATACATGTAAGTTGCTGAAGGGTTTCAAACAAAGTTGTAATGCAACAGCTGCAGGACATGCACAGCTGCTAAACAGTTAACAAGTTGAAACAAGTGCATGCTCAAACATGTTTGATCAGGTTAAAATTTAATATATATATATACACATACACACAGTTTATAAAGGCCTGGTATAAGTTATAACCAAAATGAATATGCTGATTCAGAGTTTTGTGAAATATGAATGTAATACTGATGCTTTTGTTATTTTTTCACTTCTTTACTATCAATGTCCAATGCAGGTTTTCTTTCGTGGAGCGACTGTCAATGCTATCAGAGGATTTCCAATGTGTGCAACTATGTTTCTTGGTTACGAGCTTTCCCTCAAGTTTATCCGCAGTTTCTAAAACAGACTCATTCTGCTCCCGAGGAGGGTTGGAAATAATGTATTTTGCAACCGAGAGTTTCTCATCTACTGTTTTGTGTGTTTCCAGAGAACTTTAACCTTGCTGGGAATGGGAGTGTCCCTTTGCGGTCAATGGGAATTCAGTCCCAGTCATTGTGCAGAGGGCCACTGCACTGCATTAGTACCGTCCTGCAGAACGAGGGCATTCAAGGGCTCTACAGAGGCGCGGGAGCCATGATATTACGGGATGTACCTGGATACACCCTGTACTTCGTACCATACACATTATTCTGTAACTGGCTGAATCCTGATGGCAATGCCTCACCCCATCCCTGCTGCATATGGCTAGCAGGAGGTTTAGCAGGTAAATGAGACCCGGACTCTATTCCAAAACCAAAAAAAGTCTGATTTAATACACTCTCAGATGCACAGGCTCAACTTGCAAATGTTTGCATTAGAGTTTTATGTTAGCCTGTTGCTAAGCTAACAACATGAGTCCAACAATAGTCTATCTGAAATAGATTGCATTCAGTATTGAATGGATTATATGTATGATCAACATTTTCTCACTTGGTCTGCGACGTTAAAGGAACAGTTCAGTCAAAAATTTTAATTTGGTGAAAATGTACTCACTCTCAGGCAATCCAAGATGTAGATAAGTTTGTTTCTTCTTCAGATTTGGAAAAATTTAGCATTCCATCACTTGTTTACCAATGGATCATGTGCAGTGAATGGGTGCCTTCAGAATGAGAGTCCAAACAGCTGATAAAAACATCACAATAATCCACACCACTCCAGTCCATCAGCTGTGTGTCTGAAAGAAACAAATCCATCGCTAAGACATTGTAACTTTAAACTGTTGCCTCTGATTGATATACTGGAGTGGTGTGGATTATTGTGATGTTTTTATCAGCTGTTTGGACTCTCATTCTGATGGCACCCATTCACTGCAGAGGAGCCATTGGTGAACATGTGATGCGATGCTAAACTGCTCGTGGTCTGTGAGTATTTTCAGTCCATTTTCATTTTTGGGTGACCTACTGCTTAATTTTTTCTATGCTTGTCATAATGCATTATAGGATTGGCTTCACAAAAGAGACATTTAATACTGTTGTAAAATGTGGTCATATCTTATCTCAGAATGCAGTATAATACAATAAACCTTGCATAAAATGCAGTTCACTAGGTTTAACAGAGCTATTCTTTTCCAGCCTGAATGTGATGCTTACCAAAAGAAACACCAGATGCACTTGTAGTGTTTTTCAGTCTGTTTGCACAAGTGTTGAATTGTTGAAAAGCTATGTCAGACCCTCTGTGTCACACCAAACCACTTCTCAGCAGTCATGCACAGATTAACAAGTATACGTTTGGTTAAGGATAGGAGGCTGCATTGTTTTGAAATTTGTCAGTGTACTTCCCATTAAAAATGTCCCTCCTGTTGGTGTATGACGGGAAAGACCTGGTTTAACCTAAATATGACCCTATTGGGAGTCAGGTATTTTTAGGACACAGAATACTTCACATGAGATTTCACTCGTTGGTTACGCTGTTGTTCCACAGGATCCATCTCGTGGGTTACCGCCACACCAGCAGACGTGGTGAAAAGCCGGTTGCAGGCAGATGCTATGCAGCACAGGAAATACAAGGGCATTCTGCACTGCATCATGCAAAGTTACAAGACAGAGGGAATACATGTAAGTTGCTGAAGGGTTTCAAACAAAGTTGTAATGCAACAGCTGCAGGACATGCACAGCTGCTAAACAGTTAACAAGTTGAAACAAGTGCATGCTCAAACATGTTTGATCAGGTTAAAATTTAATATATATATATACACATACACACAGTTTATAAAGGCCTGGTATAAGTTATAACCAAAATGAATATGCTGATTCAGAGTTTTGTGAAATATGAATGTAATACTGATGCTTTTGTTCTTTTTTCACTTCTTTACTATCAATGTCCAATGCAGGTTTTCTTTCGTGGAGCGACTGTCAATGCTATCAGAGGATTTCCAATGTGTGCAACTATGTTTCTTGGTTACGAGCTTTCCCTCAAGTTTATCCGCAGTTTCTAAAACAGACTCATTCTGCTCCCGAGGAGGGTTTTAGAGGGTTCATGATTTTAATGGCATGTAGAGACTTGCATGCGAGTTCATTGTTGATACAATGAAGAGTAACAGTGAAGCTTTTAGGTTTTTCTTATATTAAGAAAATAGGCACTTATTCTGAAAATATTTTGCTGAGATATTTTAATATATGATTATGCATCACCTGCATGAGAATGATACACTAATTTATATTTCGCTTGTACACATGTATATGTATTCTGCATTTGCAATTGGTCACATTTATGCATTATCACCTAACAAACCATTAGCCTGTACATGAATGAGATTTTCAGTCAGCTGTCAGTGCAATGCGCCTTTAAAATGATTATCTGCTAATGAAATATTATTCAAATATATAAATAAATCAAATGGTATACTGAAGTAAAGTGTCTGCTAGCTTGTTTGTGTGAATCAATTTCAAACTAATACTGATGTATTTTACTTGACGAATTTTAAGGAGCTTTTATTTTTGTCGACGTACCTCTCGAGATTTAGAAATATTGCAATTTGAAAACAGTTCATATTTCAGATGCTCTTTTATTGCAACCTCCGCTCTCTTATTAGCATCTGATTATTATGCAAATGGAAATATCAGCTGAAGACGAAAGATGTAAAAAGTACAGGGGTTGGACAAATAATGTGAACACCTGGGAAATAGGCAGTATTTCATTATGAAGGTGTTTTGCATCATTCGCTGTTAATACAGCCTCCAACCTTCTCAGAAATGATTCATACAACTTTTAAATAGTCTCCATTTAAAAGTCGGCTATGAGAACATCTGCCAGTTGATTCAGAGTTGGTGGTGGAGGGAATCAAATTCTCAGGCTTCTCTCCAAAGCCTACAGTGGTTTGATGATATTTAAGTCAGCTGATTTGTCTGACCAGGGCAGATGTTTATCTCAGTGCTCCAAACGGCCCAGGTTTTATGATCATGACACTATCTTCCACATTTTAGTATTGGTGTCTGTGATTAAAGTATTAGCAATTGCAGCTCTTTCACGGATGTTGGTTTTTGAGGAAACCGGGTCTTCAAGGTGAATATTGAGGTTTGCTGTCACTTTGCTGCTGTAGTTCTGTTGTTTGTTGTTCTGTAGTGTTCAACTATCATTCACTTTCAGTTTTCGCTCACTGATGAATCATAAACTTAAAGACAGCTGTTCTTAAAACACCAAACAACTGGGCTGTTCAGCTCCTGCTAAAAGAGCTCCATGAATTTCCCTTCTTGGAAGTCTTGGAAGTCACTTACAAGTTTCACTGTCCACTTGAACTAAACACTGCTAAACACTATTTTTACTACACTGATATACAACCTAGAGAATATATACAGTGTAAAAAGAAATAAAATTTAATTGCAACATTTGTTTTTTTCTGTGACTTCCACAAATTATATTAACCCCTATAATAAAGGGTGTGCACAATATTTTGTCTAATATAGTATAATAATATAATAATGTCTGTATATATGGCTATAGCCCATTCTGATTCTGATACAGTATATCACTTGAAAGATTTTAATGTCGCTTGTGATACACTAGGTGGCGCTGTGTCATTATGTCAGGAACATTGGTAGTGACCTTACGGAAATGTAAAGGAAAATTGTTTCCACTAGATGGCGACACTATATAAAACAAAACTGTGAGACCAGCCTTTTCTAAATGGCATTGTTCAGGGGTCTTCAGTAAGGCTGAAAAGGATGACCCTTGTTCAGAAACAATATGATTTTCTCTGAAAATGTTTGAAACTGCAGGGAAAATACTCTCAGTGATATAGCTACAAGAAATATCAATAAAATGATATTGATCAAAAGTTGATCAAGTATATTGGGCTAAAATCTGTGCTGGGTATATTATTTACAATTTGTAGTCTGTCACTGATTACATGACGAAAGTTTTAGTGACATAATCTAGGTTTCTTATTTAGGTAAATGTAATCCGACTACTTTTTTTTAGATTACTGTTTTTGATCAAACGTGTTTTAAACATACCATTAAATGTACCATATTGATATAAAAAAAGCAAAATAGCATATTACATTTTTGATTTCAACATATAAAATGCATTAAACATTAAATTACACCAGGGTTTCCCAAACTGGGCTCAATGAACGAACTGCAGTGGGGTTTTGACGTTGGCGGCCGAATGCACATGACATTAATCTGTCCAAATAAGACATGGAACTTTCTCTTAATCTAATTTCTCTACAGAGATTCAAACGTGTCATACAGTAGCTTGCTTAATTCAATTACATTCAGTTGTTTTTTGAACAGTGAATATTCGTCTCAAACAACAAGTGGAAACCTTATACAGTGCTCATTATTAGTGTTTTCCTTGATAATTATGTTAAATTGGCAATAATAAATTTGTTTTAGAGAATGCAGTCATATTATGTTTTTATCAACACAGTACTGTCTCCTACACATATGTCCCTTGGTTTATATTTTGGAACTCCATTAATAAAAATTCCATTAATAAAAAAATCATACATTGCTAATTGCATTTGTAGATATTGTAAATGAGCATCACATTATGTATATAACTATATTGATTATTTGATGATTATTTTTGTATTTTTATGTTTTCTTTCTTTATGATTACATTTATTTTATTTGTTGCATTGCTATACTTTATGTATTATTATTATTGTTGTTGTTGTTGGTGGTGGTGTAAGACAATTTTTTTGTCCCTAAACTGAAATGAGCTCTCCACCCTTGCTATCCCAGGACACTTGCTAATTTGCATATATGTTCAGATGTTGCTTTATTCATTTATTTTTTTTAAATGTATTTATTATTTCATTATGGCATAAAAGAAAATGTTATTTTTTTTCTTTCCCTAAGCTGAAATTAGCTCTAAGTCCTTTTCCAGCTATTTATATATTTATATACACAGTAAACTGTATAAAATTGTAACTATACTAAGAAATAAAAAAATAAAAAAATTATAAATAAAATTGCAATTATTCTTCCATACACCTAATGTTGACTTTTAGGTATTTCCATAAATACAGTAAAGTAATATTTTTACCAATTATCTTTTTTTTTTTCATAGCTGCAGTCTATTTTTCTTCTCTCGTCTCCCTCGTGCACTCTGACACATTTCCAGAAAGGTTGTGTTCTGACCTTGAAATGGATTTGTTTTGGTGAAATAATAGCAGAGCATTCTTCAGTATTGATTTTATCTCTAAAGGCTCCCTCACGGCTCACTCTGTGACATATTAGGATGATGATTTCATTGCGGTTCCCATTACAGCTCCCTAAACTTCATTGTTCTCCTGTTGTAGACGTGATGTCATAAAAGCTGCTCTCTGGAAATCAGATCCTATATGGCTGCTTAATGTTCTGCTTTGTTTGGATTGACTGTGCTGCTCAGTGTAGCCTGAGCACCTGTCAGTAATATTTGTTCAGCTCTATGTACAGGCGGTAATGAGGGATCTGTAATCACTGTACACAGCACTTACAGCAAGATCCTGTCGACCTTCAGAACGCAAAACACTCCGGTGTAAAGTCTAAAATAGCTGAATGCCCATAACGCCACGTTGCTGATAGATATTGTCACTGAACATCATTTGTGAATGTGTATTGTTCGTGTTCAACACAGTTTCAGCGCTTTTGTTTGTGTGTGTCTGTACAGTGAGAGTGAGCATGTGCCTAAAGACAAATTAATAAAACAACAGCAAAATGTTACCCATCACCACGTCAACCCTATTGTCACAGTTCGCTGTTTAGGAAGCACGCAGGAGGCACAAATAAACGAAAACAGTCTTTAATCCATGGAACACAGGGTACATCCACACTGGAAATGGCAGGAAATGCACAAACATAATGAGTAGAACCGACAAACACAGAACGCAAAGGCAAGGACTTAAATACTGGGGATAATTAACAAACACAGGTGCCAGGAATCATAATTAAACTAAACAAGGACAGGAAAAAGATCATATAAGGAAAAGCAGGAACAAAGACATGGGCAAAAAACAACAAAACAGGTCCATGATCTTGACATATGGCCCCCCTCCCAGAAGGTGCGTCCTCGCACCGTAGAACAACAGAGGGGGGGAAATGGGTGGGAACTAAAAAGGAGGCTCAGGAGGAGGACGGATGTCCGGGAGGGGGCCGGCAGACAGAGTCCAGGGAGGAGACGATGGAGGGAGGAGCCAGGGAGGAAACAAGAGGGATCCGGAGCAGGAGGAGCCAAGCAGGACCCAGGCCACAGTCATGATGGCCACCCACGGTGGATCCGACGGAGGGAGGAGCCATGGAGGAGGAATGGCCACCGACTCCAGGGGGCCGACCAATGGCGGCAGAGCAGGTGGTGGAGGAGCCTGAGGCGGATACGGAAATCCAACGAGCCAGGGGGATGCTGAGGATCTGGGGGGCCAGGGTGGAGCCGAGGGCTCTGCCAACCGAGGCGGAGGCGGAGATCCGCGGTGGAGCTGGAGCGACTGAGGACCAAGGTGGAGCTGGCGGGAGGAAGGAGCCAAACGGAGCCGGTGGGGTGGAGCGAAGAGGTGCAGCCGGAGGAGCAGAGTCCTGAGGCAATGGCGGGTCGACGCCCGACCAAGGCTGAGCCGGAGGGACGAGGGAGCCTGGTAGAGCTGGTGGATCGACGGTTGACGGTGGGGCAGAGGGAGCTAGGAGCCGGGGTGGAGCCGCTGGGTCTACGGGCCGAGGCGAAGTCCGGGCCTTGGAGGCTGGAGGCGGAGGTGAGGGATTCTACAGCCATGGTGACGCTGGAGGATGGTAGGAGCGGGTGGGCATTTGTGAGACTCCAGGTATTCAGGGCTAAACTCTGGATCGGGAGCCCCCTCAAGGCTGAACACGGGAACATGAAATCACTCTGGAGGAGCGGACACTGGAGGGCGCTTTCGAGGAGTGGGCACTGGAGGGCGCTCTGGACTGGATTTGGGGACTGGAGCCCTCTCCTCTTCGGTGTGGCACATTTGCCGCGCCCTACTCAGCTCGCCCTTAGCCGCTGTGCAGCGGACGGAGCTCCTCTCCGCGCT